ATAATGAGATGTGTCATGCATATATATATTTTAAAGTTATATAGTTGTACATCATGATGTCAAGATTGTCGTCACGATGTGACAAAATATATTAGTGCAACAAAAAGAAAAAATCTAAAGGTGGATTGGATGATATTTTGATATTTATTATTTTTGAGTTAAAAGGTCCTGCCTGCACTCTAAAATTTAATCCGTCATCCGATAATCACACAAAAAATACATCCGCCAGATTCGGGTGAATTGAATAGATAATCTAACAAACATCATCATATATAAAGATTATTAAAAATACAGCAACAGCAACGGTAATCCATAAATTTAGTTTAATAGATGAATGCATTCATAAAATATGTTAACAAAGAGCAAAAGAATTTAGTAGAAAAACCAAAAAGTGTTTTTAGAGATGAAACAAAGCTCAAAATGTTTTTTATAAACTAAATTCTAAAGGTTTAAAGGGAGAGGGAACGATTTCCAATTGGTTGTATACAAACTGAGTTTAAATCAACTCTATTTTGGTTTGGAGAACAATTTTCACTTATTTAATGCCGAAGTAGATATTGACGACTTTTTAACATTTTAAAGACGAATTGCTTAAACCCCAAAAATCACAAAATCACGACGATAAATTTATTTCAATTATTATGTTAACTATTTTTTTTTTTATAAAGAAACCTTCGCCTAGTATGCAAGTCGTGCTTACTCGACTGTTCAAAGACAAAGCGCAAGACGTGTTAAATAATAATAATAAGTTTTTTCGGTTAACTAACCTTTTTAGAAATTTCCCGACGATCAAAATATCATCCACGGATCGCATCTACTAAATCATTTATAGATCAAAAATTGATAGAATTGCTTTAAAAGCCTTCTTCAATATCTTGAAAAAGTTCATATTAAGCAATTGAGGCTTTTCATGTTAAATATTTTCACACAATCTGACTCACAATACCTAGATGACTGGCTACCCTAGAATGGAGATTAATTACCCTATTAAAAAAAAAATACATTATTAATTTCAGAAACACTCGTGAAAATTTCCACGAATTTGCGAACCGACTTTCCACCTGTAATCTTTCTGTGATTTTGTATATGATGCATTTCTGGAGAAAACATGGAACTTCAAATCATGGATCGAGTTTTTTTACAGGGTTAAAATTTCCTTGCGCCGTACTTTTAGAGCTCCATCATCAACAATTACAATAAGGAAAATACTAAACAATCAATAAGAAACAATAAAGAATGGCAAAAAAATTTAAAAAATATCAATATAGAACTTAAAAATTGTGAATTCAATTGATACGTTTGAATACATCAATCTTTGTAATCTGTAATCCTTGCCCTTATCAAAATTATGATTAATGGAATATGATAGTCAACACCAACCCATTAATTATCGAAAACCCGATAATTCCAGATGAGATGTTTGCCATAATCAATAATGCTGCAAAAAAACATATAATGAATCAATACGGCTATGTAAATGCAAGCGAAGACCAAATGTGTAGGCCAGCTGTACAGATTTTAATGGTTACGTAGAACATTATCGATAAAATCTCCATTGAAAACATCAGAAGATGAACATTGTAATAAAATTTTAAACATTTACATAAATTTTTTATTGTCCGAAATAAAATCAATTGGGCAAGTCATAATTTTAAAATCCCATTCAAGAGGCAAGGATATGATAGGCTAACAATCGGAGATGAAGTGTGGACCAGGTCAAACTGTATTATTTATTTAATTCAGGTCAGCATTTTTATTATAATTGCTAGCTTATTGTTTTCTTTTAAAATTGATTTTATTTATCTTTAAATTGAGAATTACAGCAAACTTTTATCATAAGTTTACACACAGCGGAATTTATCTGTTGTGACAACTACCTGATAGAATCTAATTTTCAACATTTCGTCGGGTTAGAGGTACATGAACATATGCATGTCATGTTATTATTATTAACTGAATATTTGCATTCAACAGAATCATGTAAATAATCTTTATCAAACGTAAAGATGTCCAAATTAGATGACTTTGCGAATATCTATGCTAATGGGTTTGTTCTGAATACAAACTGCCTAAAAACCTATATTATTGATTGGTAGAAAGGTATTATGCAAACTTTTTAATTGATCTAAAAGATAGAAAGCTGAAATATGTCATCGTGTAAAAACAATTAATGGTTTATATAAAAATTACAACCTTTACCATACATTACTTTACTCGTTTTTAATTGAAAGGAGAAGATCCTATTACAAGAATAGTTCACAGAAATCTAAAGTAAAAATAATTAATGGTTATATATGAAACCTACAATATTATCAAACATTTACCTCACTTAACCTAGTAGTGGAATTATTTTTAATTGAGAAGAAGCCTCTGACAGTTTCGTTTTGGTTATTTGAGCAACCTAAAATTCCATAAGAAAATAGAAACCTAAAATAAATAATCAATAGATCACTATGTATTTTACTTTACTCAACTGAAGGACGTATCAATGTTATATTTGATCGTTTCTTCTCCGATTCATGTTTGCCATATTATAAACGTACATAATTTGTTGGTAAAAAAAATTGAATAAAATATAATTAAAAATGACGAAGGTCCAAATGCTTTAACAAATGAAGATTAGCAGAAGGAGAATTGGAAGAAGATGGTGATAATTTCTGTCTGTTTAATTACACCAAATGCGAATACAACCTTTTGTTTAGAGTAAAGAACCATTTAAAGGCAAGGAAGCACTTTTGTCAGTACTTGCATAATCAAATGGAACAAGTAACTATAAAAGGATAAAACGAGAATTAAAAAAAATTAAGAGTTAATGTTAATGTTAATGTAAATAAATGATTCGTAATTTATGCGAAGGGTATTCGTCATCCATGTTATATATGCATGAATATTATTAATTCATTATTAATAAGATACGGAAGATAAAAACCTTGGTAATCGAAAATATAATGTTTTTATCACGCATAAAAATTTTATAATGAACAAATATTAACATTTATTATTCTTATAAATAAAGCACAGCAGATATTATCATCGGGTAAATCAGCAACATCAGCAACATAATTGAAACTTCATAGTGAATTTAGTATATTTTTTGGAAGTTTAAGATGCCTCATATCAAGTTCATCACAAATCGTGCTAAAGAAACATTCATCGTGAGACCGATAAAGTGGCTTATGTCAATGAACGTTGGATAGCAAGCCTGGCCCTCAATATCACACCAATCAAGGCCTACAAGTTTTGTATGTTGCACGCCATTGATGTTCACGATATTGCTCTTGCGAAAGTCACCAAACACCAGGTTTGTTCCATGTAATTTCTGCATAGCATTGTAGACCTCCTTAATGAATTCTCTCAATGTCATCTTTTTCAAGCTTGTCTAGAAACATTAGAAAGCATGCTGCCATCAATATATTGATATGTCAACCATACACTTTATCCTTGTTATAGTAGAATATTTGGGGTACAAATCCATGCTCAGCCCACAGTTGATGCGTTTTAGCGTTGTATCTCTTGCAAACTTACCAATCATTTGATGATTATCATTCGTGAGTGTATGCCAAAGATTTTTTTTTCAGTTAATTAATCATCACAAGTAAATCAATAATTGTCTTATTATTCGTTTCAAATTGGTTAAAGTAAGGGAAAAACCGCCGTGTATTCCAAAAGAATAATCTCTTAAATTAAATTGCTCATAAAATTTCTTTGAATAACAAACAGACTGCCGCAAGCTTCAAATGTCTGTGCCATATGATATAAATAATTTTGATCCTTGATGTGAGACTAGTCCAACCAAGTACACCGTTCCCAAGATACAAAGCTATGTACTTACTATTGTTATGACAAAACATGGACAATTGCACAACTTTTGCATTTTGTTATTTCATTCCAAACATTAATTAGTAAGTATTATAAATATTTTTATAAGCTAAGCTTTAAATTTGTATGTAAAATTTGCCTTTTCTTATGTCCAATATCGGCACAAGAGATAGTTCCCTAAATAAATGGGTCACTGAGATCCATCTGAAAGAACTCTCCGCTCTAGTGGACATTGAAATATACCTCTCCACAACTTCCTGTCATTGATCTTCCGCTCCATATACTTTTGGCATTTCATCAACAAAATCATCAATCCATTTAAAAATACCTTCTGATACGACTAGACTCTTGTTATTGTTAACTTACAAAATTGTGTCGAAGACATCATGATAAAAATTGACAGGCCAACTAAAATCAGAGCGGTGGTTTTTGAAAGGGTTTGAAGTTCAGAATTGCACAAGTTACTGAAGGTGGATTCATCTTTGTATTTCCGTTACATTTTGTTCATGTGCTATGATGATAAAATTTATTCAAAGAGTATATCGTACATAACTCGCCCTTCTGTTTTTTTGCAATATTATCATTATTTTCGGGATCTATTAAGTGCTTCTAGATAAATCAAAACAGGAATCGATAAAAGCGCGATTTAGTATTAGTCAATGTTGCACAACAGCATATATACCAAATGTTCCCCTCAATATAAGTACTCTAGTTACGGTAAGTTTCTTTGACCAACTTATGATTGAATAAACTCTTCCCGTGATATTTGTGACTACTTATACATACCACTCTTTCTTTTTCGTAATCAGCTTCAATTAGCTGAATTCTCAGTATAGAAGAAACGAAGCACTGTTTTTTCTTCTTTGGCAAGTCAAGTCTGGAATTTTTGTATACAGAAGATTGTTCATTTTCTGGTCAAGTGAAAAATTTAACCGTGAGAATTTATTTAATGGTCTCAACTTAAAAAAAGCAAGACTTTCTCAAGAATATTTTTGTTATTTTTATTTTCATTGAATTTTTTTGTTTCTTTGTGAACAATATTAATAAAGTAAAGAATAATAATAATACACGCGATCTACATGCTCCATAATTGAAAAAAAAAATTGTAATAATAAAATTAATGTATTTATAATTAATTTTTTATAATTTTTAATCATTCAAATTCTTTGCTAGAGGGCCGATCACCAAGGCCATCCACGATTAAAATTAAATAATTCCCTCGTAAGTCGTTGTTCGAAGTTATCATCTATAGAAATAATATTTTTTAAAAAGAACAAATTAAAATTTATTTCTTAATTATTTTGAACATATTTTCATCTAATGTTAGTTGATGTTGATATATGTATATTCTACCTTCGGTGACAGGTGGTATGGCCAAAGGATTATTATCCCCCAATATAAATATAGCTTCATCGGTCATGTTATTCCCGCTATTGCCATCTGTATAAATTGCATAATTTAAAATAAAATAAAAATAATAAAAATAAAAAAAATAAAAAATAATATCACCTGTGTTATTTTTTTTTCGTCCTCTTTTCTGTGAATCCCAATTTCTCTTGCATTCCCTACCACGATCAGAGCATCTTTTGCAGATTATGCCCTCACTGCATCTTCTTTTCTCTTTACGACAGTTTGTGCAGCTCTTCTGAACATATCGAGTTCGGCTTCTTCCCATTACTGATAAAAAAAAATTAAATTCAACAATGATTATTTTGATTTTTTTTTTACCTGTGTTTTGTGCATGAAAAAATAAATTCAACAATGGTTTATTTTGTTTTTTTTTTTACCTGTGTTTGTGTATGGAAAAAATATATGGGAGAAGTCTATTTTTTGCAAGTAATTATCATACAGCCTATTTATGTGCTATGTTAATTAGTGGAAATTTTTTAATTGGTTAATATTAATCATGTGTACACACATAAAGCCACTTTTCCAAATAAACGTTTTTGTATTTTCCGACAGCCAAACTATTATGCAATATGTCGTAATGTTATGATTGGTCGTACACGTATAAAACTTGATCATACAATGATTTGTCGCGTCCGACTTATCGAGTGTAATATAATGTCAAAATCAAAAATTATAAATTATATTATATTATTAAAATCTTAGCTGAAATGTTTATCTAGAACATATTCTATATCAGATTCCAATAGCAATTGTTTTGACGGCTCTATTTAGTATGATACTCTTGATTGTCAATATTAATATACTTTTCAATTATTTCTTCCTCGTCCACTATATTAATTCCTCTTGACCCTTTCACCAGTGTATAAAAATTCACTGATCAATTTTTGTGTATGTTTGCACAAAATTTTTTGAAGATTGTTTAAAATCGTATTTTTCCGCAAAATCATCCGCAATTTTGCGCAGCATCATGGGAATATCCAATTTTATTGGTGGGTTGAGTTCGTGTTATCCTTATTTAGAGATCGATTTGGCGATTGCGGATGATTTTTGCGGAACAATACATGATTATTATGATTTTAATTTGTTTGCTGGTCAATTCAGTAAAATTGTAAGATAAACATAAATTTCAAGAAAAAAATTACATTTTTCTATCTTTACTACTGTAAAATAGTAATTTTTCATATCACGAGAAACCAATAAATAAATCGGAAATGATTTATGAAAGTTGCACGCAAATAAAATCAGAAAATTGATCATAATCAAAAGTATTCAAACCAGCCAAATTTCATATTTTTATTCAATTACCAATAAAATAATTGACTCACGGAAAATATCTCAAACAATGGAAAAATAAATATTCCTAACATTCTAAAATCTAACCTTTAATTCTTAGATTTAATTTAAACGAAGGAATTTAAATGATTGGATCACTTTAGAAATAACTTGAAAATAATTCTACACAGAAGGTTCAAATAATACATTTAATTAGAATAAATTAGGATTTCAAAAGAAATCGGAGAACTAGATAATAGAACCTTTAACATTATAAATAACGTTGTGATTTTCTCAACTTCACGTATCATCCTGAATCATCCTTTTATAATCGTCATAATAATAAATAACACTGCCCTTAACCTTGTCCTTGTTGTTGTCCTTGTTGTTATTTTTGAATACTATGTTTTCTTAATGACAATAAATCTATCTCTAACAATGAACTCGTACTAATCCCGTGCATAACCATTTTCTCTTATTTTATATTTGTCTCTGTTATTTTTATTATTTTTTATCTCTTTTCTTTTCTTTTAGTGAGGTAATATTTAATAAATTTTATTTAGTAGTTTTTGCTGACTTGGTAGCAAAGAGAAAAACGGCTAGAAGAACACCCACCAAGAAACGTGATCAGGATATATAGTGTAAAATCTAAAAAGGATATTTCTTAGTATAAAGAATTATTTGAGAGTAAAGCATAAATATACATTCGCGGAATTGTTGTTACGATTTAATACAAATAAATTGAAAGAAATTGTATTAACATTGTTGGTATACTATTATAAATAAAATATTGAGATTTACTGTGAGACGCGGATTTCAATCTCACACTACACCAATGTTCATATGCCTTACAAAAATCAACTTCACCTACATTCTTGGGATCATTTAATGGAATATGTAAGTGCATGTTTATAATGTTAATATTCATTCTATTTCCTAAATCTGTTTTTGTTAGATTTTGTTTCGAAAATATATGTTCAATAACCCATTTAAAAGGGGTACTATTAGTGATTGGCAAAATTTTATAATTGATTATCGATTTTAAAAGATCAAGTGTATGTCATTCTAAACATAATTAATGACAACAATTCATTATAAAATATTTGGCAATTCCTTCTTTAATGGGTAAAAAAATTATTAAAAATTATTGTTTTGTTTCATGATCAACAGACTGTGAACCGGTCGCGTTTACTTCGCCGAAAATTATTTCGTCGACAATCATTTCGTCGACACCCATTTCGTCGAAAGTTCATTTCGTCGAAAATTTGTTTCATCGAATGTTCATTTCGTCGAATGTTCATTTCGTCGAAAATTATTTCATCCTCGAGCCAGAGACCGAACGAGTTAGATGTGAGGAGTGTGGGAAGTTAGTTAAGAAATTAGATGAGGAAAGCGGGGTGTGTGGGAAGTGTGAGGAGAAATTTGTTTGACAAAATAAATTTTCGACGAAATGAACATCCGACGAAATGAACTTTCGTTGAAACAAACTTTCGACGAAATGACTGTCGACGAGATGATTGTCGACGAAATGAATCAGACCCCTAAAAAATAAATAATTTGAGGAAAAAGTAAAAAAGGAGCATTGTTTGAAAGTATTCTTTAAGTGAAGCCCTATCAGAAGTTCAAGATGCTCAAAATCTTAATGATGAATCTGACTCATTAGGGCACTGACATATATTAGCTAATATTGTTTCAATAGAAGTGCTTACCCCACCACAAGGTAAGACATTTTGATCACGTGTATAAAAGTCATTTGCCTTTTTAAGTATCAACAAAATGCAAGCAAAAAAAAGAACCATCACATACCAGAAAAAGAAATTCTTCAAGCACTCTGGTTTTTTTTCAATTATATTAGGAACCACCTACATCTGAATTCTTAGTAAAGAAGAAACGAAGCACTATTTTTTCTTTGGACAGGAAATTTCGGTATACAGAAGATCGTTTATTTTTTGGGCAAGTGAAATTAACCGTGTGAATTTATTTACTGGGTCACAATTTATTAAGAAGGCAAGACTTTCTTGAGAAAGATTTTTGTTATCTTTGTTTTTATTGAATTTTTTAGTTTTTTGTGAACGAAATGAAAAATACACACGATCTACATGCGCATATTCTATAATCAAAAAAAAAAAATTGTAATAGCTATGAGGGAAATAAATACTAAAAATTTTCATAATAATAATAATAATTTTTAACGAATGTAAAGATTTATTTTCTAATCATTTTCAAGTTTTATTAATATATCATATTCTTCAGATGTTAGAGGAACACCACCAAGTCTACGTCCATAATCAAATCTCAAATCCATCATATGTTGAGTGTTATTATCTACATAAAGTTGTACAGAAATAATATTATTTCAAAAAAAGATGTTGATATATATATATATATATTCATTATAGTATCTACCTTGATCGAAGACGACATTTTCCGATGGTGTGGACAAAGGATTGCCTGGAAACATATTATCACACCCAAATAACAATCTATTTCCATCGATCATATTATCTTCATTATTATTATTATTATTATTGCCATTGTTATCATTATTATCTATATAAAATTGTATAATTTAAAATCAATCAAAAAATAACATTATCTACCTTGATTGAAGTCAACATATTCTGGTAGTATGGTGGACAAAGGATTATCTGGAAACATAAGATCATATCCATGTAAAAATCCAGTTCCATTAGTAATGTTATTCTCTTCGTTGTTATTATTATTATAATTGCCATTGTTATTATGATAATTTTTTTGATCTTGAAACATAAAAATATTGTATTATCATAAAATATATATATTTTATTTTTTTAATGTTTATTAAAATAAAAATAATAAATAATAAAAATAATAAAAATAAATAATAAAAGATAAAAAATAATATTATCTACCTTGATTGAGGTCGACATATTCCGATTGTATGGGCAAAGGATTATCTGAAAACATACTAATACCATCATATCCAGATAAAAATCTATCTCCATCGGTCATGTTATTCTCTTCATTGTTATTATTATTATTGTCATTGTTATTATTATCATCTATATAAAAATTGTATAATTTAAAAATAATATTATCTACCTTGATTGAAGTTGGCATCTCCTGATGGTATGGTGGACAAAGGATTATCTGGAAACATATAACCATACCCAGCTCCATTGATAATGTTATTCTCTTCGTTGTTATTATTATCTGTCATTGTCATTGTTAATATTATTATCTACATAAAATTTTATAATTAAAAAATAATATTATCTACCTTGATTGAAGTCGGCACCTTCTGATGATATGGTGGACAAAGGATTATCTGGAAATGTATAACCAGATAAAAATCCAGCATCATCGATAATGTTATTCTCTTCGTTGTTATTATTATCTGTCGTTGTCATTGTTATTATTATCATCTACATAAAATTTTATAATTAAAAATAATATTATCTACCTCGATTGAAGTCGGTATTTTCTGATGATATGGCGGGCAAAGGATTATCTGGAAATATATAACCAGATAAAAATCCAGCTTCATCGATCATGTTATTTCTTTGTTGTTATTATTATCACATATATAAAATTGTATGATTTAAAAATAATAATATCTACCTTGATTGAAGTTGGCATCTCCTGATGATATGGCGGACAAAGGATTATCTGGAAACATATAACCACACCCAGCTCCATTGATCATGTTATTCTCTTCGTTGGTATTATTATCTGTCATTGTCATTGTTATTATTATCATCTACATAAAATTTTATAATTAAAAAAAATAATATTGTCTACCTTGATTGAAGTCGGCATCTTCTGATGGTATGGTGGACAAAGGATTACCTGGAAGCATATTATCATACCCAGCTTCATCGATCATGTTATTCTCTTTGTTGTTATTATTATCTGTCATTGTCATTGTTATTATTATCATCTACATAAAATTGTATAATTAAAAAATAAAAAATAATATCACCTGTCTTTTTTTTTGGCCCTCTTTGCTCTGGATTCCAACTTTTATCGCAGTTCCTACCACGTTCTAAGCATCTTTGGCAGGGAATTCCTTCGCTGCACTTCTTCCGCTCATTTTTACATTCCGAACAGGCTTTAGTTACATAGTGACCTCTTTTCATCACTGGTAAAAAAATAAATTCAACGATGGTTAAAATGATTGTTTATTTACTAAAATTTTGATTTTTCTACCCGTGTTTGTATTTGTGTATGTATTTCCAAGAAAAAAATAGGAACGAAACGGTAATAAAAAAATTTTTTCCTTGTAAATATTTTTAAAAAGAAAGTTCCTCTAGAAACCTGCTATTTATACATTTCTTTATCTATATCGGTAAAACTGTCAATATAGCGGTATTTTTTTCAATTGGTATTCTATTAATATGTCAACATAAACGTTTTTTTTTGTTCGGAATTTACTTTAATTGTCCAAATTAATATGTATATTATTGAATTGTTTGTTCAAAATAAAAAGATCAGATGAATGAATTATTTTTGCGACAAATATTCCTATAAGCCGCAGCTGCATGGATAATGCCAATCAGTAATGTGACGTGTCATTGTTGCGATTCTATTCGTTAGTTCAAAATTCCGATAATGATCATTGTTGGATGGTTGGGGCCGACAAAGTTCACCTAATTTAAGGTAAGGTTAGGTTACACAACACATATTAATATGGCAAAAAATCACAAGACCGCGATTTTAAGGTTAAAAACTCCTTGTATATATCTATAGTATGTAAAGCTATATATTGAACTACGTAGTTTTATCACAATTTTGTTAATAAAGTTATGTTATTGTTAATTAAGGAAAACTAAATGAACAGTCTTCAGTTAACCTTAATAACTATTGATTTATAAAAAAACACTAGAGTTTTATAAGAAGACAAAGCTGTACTAATAATATTTCATTTTTATATTATTATACATATATTCACACTGTTCAAAGTCTCTTGATTTTCTCTTAGAAGTTTTCTTTTGTCCGTTTCACATTTTCTCATAAATGTGGGACCTTTTACTGTGAGGTAGAATTTAAAACCTTTGCTGTAAGTTGGGAAATTTCTGTGCTGTTCAGTACTGAAATAGTGAGCGATTTTAAATTAAAATCTATATATAAATAGAAATAAGAACACATTGGTGTGAATCATCATTACCAACTACAAACACTTTACACGAGCAAACAATTCAGTAAGAACGTTTTTTGGAATGATGATCTATTTATGTTCAAGCAGTTTTCCATTATCTATAATTATCTACAAGTATATTTCATATATTTTCAAGATATGTAACATATGGGGGGATTTCTAACAAAAACCAGGTACAAGACCTCCAGACCAAAATTGAATTTTCCACAAAGATTATAACTGGCGGAAATTTTAGATATTCACTTTATATATCAAAAACATGTGTAACATATATTGCTTATATTCAGTTTTTTTCCTAGATTATCTATTATTGCAATAATAATGTTAAATAGAGAGAGATATTAAAGGTGTTATTGGGATTCATTCAAGAGGACAGGATAGGTAAATTCAAATGTTAATTTTTTTTAATTCATGATAGTAAAGTTAGATTAGTAATAATTAATTTATGGTTGGAGATCGAGAATTCTCACTCATTTTTTGGTTCCGATTCATCTATTCAACCGCCTAAGCTCAAGATCCTGTAAAAGCCTGGTCATATCAAACATTTATATGGCTTGTGTGATTTGTAAAACATAAAAATAAGGTATTACTTGGATCATAGAAAAAGTAATAGATTAATAAAAATATCATTAAACTTGGACAACTACTTCACAGTACGGTTGATTTTGCTAAAGGGTATAGATGTAATTATAAATTATTTGTTTCAAATGATTGACACATTTTCCATATCTAATAAAGTTTGACGTCACGAACTCTATCCTCAAGCGCCTAAGGGTTCAGCCTTAAGGGTAAACCTCAAGTAAAACAAATTCCATTTTGGTATCAAATGTTTTTGTGTAGCTTGAGAATGTCCTCAAGCGCATGGGTTTTATCCTCAAGTGACAATTTTATGTAATAAAATTAATGATCAAGTTAAACTTGCAAATGTAATTTAACTATGTTTTTGATTTTATAATATCAATAAAATTGTCTTATTTGCAAATTACAATGAAATCAAAATTCCCGAGAAGATTTTGAAAACTTTATTCAAAATATACTAATATGATTAAACCTTCATCATAGCCACATAATCAATATAGGTTTTTATTTTCATTATTTAATGATAAATTTTGTCACCTGTACTCAAAAAAACAGCATTTTTGATTATTAGTGGAGTTAATTGATAAATGTATTAAAATGAAAAACTTTAGATTTTAATAATTTTATATATAGTGGATATGAGAAAAAGATTTAAAAAACTTATATATAAAAGTTTAAACATACAGTATATGCAGCAGGAAAAGAAATTTATTAAGAAAAATATTTTATGTAAACAAATAGACAAGACAAGTGTTTCCGTAGACAAATGGGTCGATTATAGTCGAACATTTAATAAATAAGGGAAAGTTTATATAAACAAATTTCTATAACAGTCATTGAATAATTTATAGAAGGAAAATTTTTATTACGTTATTAGAAACAAAGAATTTTGTTATGTGAGCGTTATCTTATTCTGGTAAATATTGACCCAAAAAATGAAATTGCTTGTGGATGATCCCCGGGTCACTTGAGGTTCGCCCTTTATGCTGAACCTTAAGCGCTTTGGGTTTCAGCCTTAAACTCAAAAAACATCATGTTGATTATGACGTCACAAAGTGGAATCATAATTACGGGATCTTAATTAACATTAACATTAATATACAAAGTTTATTATCGTGAAACCCGTCAATGATTTTGATGATGTCATAGCCTGGGAAATATGGAAAATAACGGTAAGTTACTAAATATTACAGGTGGGTTGCACAATAAAATTATTACAATTTTTACGTATAATCCTACCCCAGTTAATTTAAAGTTAGCCGTGCAACCTTTAATTAAAATAATCTCAAATTTTATTGATTAACGTTAATTAACATTAAATAATGTTATATTTTAAAAAAATCTTAAATCTAAAACATATTCTATATCAATTTCACCATTAGCTCTCATGATTCTTGATTGTCAATATTAATATACTTTTCAATTATTTCTTCCTCATCCACTATATTATTTTCTCTTGGCTCTTCCACCGCTACCTCTTCTTCTTCCACTTTCTTCCATTTTTTCCTTTCTTCAATCCAATTATTTTAATCTTTGATATTATTGGCTTCTTTAATTGAATCTAATTCTCTAATATATTTATTAACTGTTTCTATAAACAAATTATCCTCCATATTTTCTTCAGAATAATTAAATTTTTCTATTCCACCAGCAACGTAATATGAATGTAACTTGGCCATCTCTTGAGCTTTCCGAAGCTAAAAAAAATAATTTGAATGTTTTAATACAAGAAGATATTAATAAAAATCTTTATATAACAAAAAAATTTTCACTATCCATACCTCATATATTCAGATTAAAAATCTACCAAGTCCTAGCACAGAGAAAACCTTTTCACAATTTACATTATGAGGCAAAATATTAAGGATTTTTCAAAGCCAACATTCGTACATGATTATAATCTTGTTTGTAACTATTCCACCAAAGTTTTGGAGCGTCTATATCATCAAGATATTCATATGCTTCGTAAGCACGGAGTTGTGTAATGAGCAAATCAACTGTTGCAATAGTTTTCTTATAGGAACCATTCATAAGCTGCTGGTTGACAAATTTTTCTTAAAGTTTCATTCTTTGTTCAATGCTTAGGATGAAAGAAATATGCAAGAAGATAAAGTTCAAAGTCAAATTGTCTCCACACCTATTAAATAATCAAATGCTTTAGTTCTAAATTGATGATTTATATCCTCAGATAAATCCTTGATTTCAATATTAGTTTGATTAATTGTATAAAACAATCTACAAGTGTGGTTGTAATTACATGTTTTATTGGCATTAACACCTTTGATAAATCTTCAACCTGCTACCAAAAAGCATGATTCCTTAAAATAGATTCAAATTATCAGTTAAACCATCTGGATCATTATTGAGAATTTAAAAGTATATATACAAGTAATAAGTGTACTAAAATTAATGCACTGTATTTATATAAAGATAAAATAAATATGTACTGCCATTTTTTAAACAAAGAAATAGCTTCCTTAACCCTAGGTATAATAAAAATACATGTGTTTTATAATTTTGAAAGTTATATATATATATATATATGACTGTTTTTTCAGAATTTCTTCTTTTAGGATTACACGCACACAAATCTAGAACATTGATTATGGCATTATGACCTATTACAGCTATCACTCAAATGCCGTAATATTAAGACAAATCAATTTGGGCTGCATTATAGTAATGATCAATGGATCTCTAGAAAAAATCAAAACAAATTGTAGATCTTTTAATTGAAATAAAATAATTGGCGAAAGTTTTATTATTAAATGGTCATACAACTTCCAAAATTATGTATTATGTATATTTTAACTGCTTTACAAACCTACCAAAAAACAATCAATAACTTCAAATTATAATCATAAAGTTGTCATACAAAATTCGATAACTTTTTTCATAACTTTTAAATATACTGAAGAGTCGTTTGAGTTTATTGATCCATCACTCATTCATAAAGCTCTGAACAGTTCTGTTTAAATCAAAAAATTCAGTTTGGTTTCGTTTAGTTTGGTCCAGTTCAGTTTTTAAAAAAGCCAAACTGAGGATTTTTGGTTCAGTTCAGCTTTGGTTTATCTTGTGAACTGAACAGATAATAAATTGAAAAATTTCAGCTTATCCGAAATATCAATGTGCTAAATTGTTGAAGATTTGGAAACGTAAATAATAAAATTTTTCGATTTATATTTATTCTTTCTTTAAAATTTTTTTCTTATAGTTGTAACTTATTTACTTTTTTAAAAAAAACTTTTTTAATAATAATCTTTACTTTAATATTTATAAACAGGACACATAATAAGAAAATTATGCCAATTATATTTTAATAACATGTGACGCAAAAAATTTAAAATCCGTTATAGAGTGAACTTAACTATAATTCACTTGACTGTACTTGAATCTTTTGTCTGGGTGTAAAAACACCAAATCGCGTCATGCTTGAGCATGGTTATAGCAATGTTAGTTATTGCACTGATCTTTGTGCTTTTAATTTTGAAGTATATAGCAATAAACTTTTAAAAGCTCTATTATTCCTAATTTAAAACACGAATTGGAATGTCAAATGTTAATACTTGAGAGTTTTTTATTTGTTGTATTTTTTTTACAAAGTGTAAAAATCAACAAAATCATGTCGTGCTCAAGCTGTACCGGTTACTCGGGCTTTAAACACATAATGGTCAGTCAATTTTGGTATGGGAAATGAGTTTTTTGCACTTATTTTTGCGACTTTTAATCTAAATGATTTTTTTATCTTATAAAATTCGATTCGGTTTCAGTTTGCGTTTAATAAAGTTCAGTTTGGTTTGATTATAAACCAAAATTTTGCTGTTTGCACTCTAAACCACGCCGAACCAAATCGTTCGGAGCTTTACTCATTCATCAGGAATATGGCTATTAAAATTATAACATTAATAAATAATTACATATTAACAATTTATAAAATGATTTTCTCTCTACCTATTGCATGTAACAGGTTACTCTATATAAATTCTGTGCCAAATTTTATATAGTGAAATAAATAAACATGATTGAAACTATTAAAAGAGTTAAATAAAAGTCACCAAGTTGATTCTTAAAAATAATGAATAATTAATGATGAGATCATTTTAAATTTTGTAAAATTATACTTTGAATTAAAGCAATACTTAACAATGAGATTCCATCGTTTTCCTGGATGTCTATTTGCAAGATCTTAATACAACACAGACATGGCAGAGTACTAGCTAGCGAGTGGTCTAGTGTTTGCCATTAATAACTTGTAGATTGTAATTATAGAATCAAACAAAAAATAAATAAATAAACAGGATTTGGACCAATAGTTCACCTATATGTAAGAAAAAAAGTAGCGGGTTCTTAATTTATATATTCAAAAGAATTTATTTTAATATCACGTAAACTCATATATGAATTGATCGATGAATTTTTCCAGAATCCAAATTTGGTATATTCCCTGACTGTAATTGTTGATGACAATAAATAATAGGTTATGAGGATCAAACTGAATAGGATGTTTAGTTTTGGTTATTTTCAAGTTGAAACTTGTTATTATTTTCTTTTATTCAAGAAAGGGAAAAGTTAGATGGCATTCAAGTTGTTTGTATACATGTTTATAATTAGAGGACCAATTTAGCGACCAAGTCTACTTTATCGACTTTGAAGATGTTGTCTACCAAGTCTATTATTGTGTCTCATTGACTTGATACAAATTAAACAACACATGTCGAAATACAATGTAACAAAATATCAATCAATCAATAAATAGGATAATGTCAATAAGAGTGATTAATCCAAAGATAGGTAGGTGTGTTGCGAAATTCAATAAAGAGACTTGTACTAAAGGTGATATGGCGCCATTTTAATAATGGCTTGAATTTAGAATTATATTTGATTTTTTCTATTCCATTTCGAATTTAGCTTTGATTTCGATTTTTGATTTTAGTCGAAATAACCCTTTAAATTAATTCTATCCGAACACAAACACAAGTCAAATATCTCTTCTGCCAATAATTCAACAAGTGATTTAATGACATGTGAGTTGAATAGCCACAATTTTTATGTAGTAAATAATAACATTAAATAATAACCAGTTTTTAAACGGTGATCTTGGAATCAGTATTAGGGTCGATTTTTAACTAATCTTGGAACCTGTTCCAAAAGACTGGTCTTTGGAACTGAATCAGTAAAAACATGGTAATCTGTCCATTGGATATCACCGAGATAAATTAAAAACAGTAATCAGGTTTATTGTGAGATATTGATAAAGGATTTGGAATGAATATGTTACACTAAAAAAATTAGCTCAATTCTTTTATTATTATATCACAAGTTGAAGATGTCGTCTCCTTCCCAGCCTAAAGAATTCGCCCCGCCAACTTATACTCTATCCTTATATAAAAAATATTTTTCATAGGTTTAATATTTTTACCGTGGTTATGATTGATCAACATTATTTATATGTGGCCAAACACAAAACGTCAAGATATAGGCAGAGAAATTAGAAAATTATGAGACTTTTTTATTAAATTTTTCAATCAATCATTCATCATTTATTGGCACTTATTTATCGTTTATATTTATAATTTTTTCAAATTTTACATTTTCCGCAATTGGTATAATATTTTGGCTTATAGTATCAATGACTTGGTTTATCATATTTGTTAATAAAAGAATTTCTTGGGGTGAATTTTCAGACAATATAATAGTTGTAAGACTTAAAGGTATCTAAATAGTTGGCTAGTTATATTTCCGCGTATAATATATTTATTTTATAATTTTAATATTTTGTTACTTTTTGTAAAATTAAAAAAATGCAATGCAATTAATTTAATTAATTAATTTCTTAATTTCTTGTTACTTCGAGGTGACTTAGATCCATTTGTCTAAAAAACAATTATATATCATATATTATATACTATCATCCGAGTAAATCCAATCAATCATCAATCAATCAATCAATTCAATACTTACCAGTGAATTGTTGAAGTTAGAGCTATCGATGATACTCGATTTTGCTTTTTGCAAGGTTGCTTGTTTTGTCTTCAATTCATTTTCTTGTTTTTCAAGATTTTTTTTTAAATCCAACAAGTTTTGAATAGCTTTTTGTAATTCTGTCCATTTACCACAAACACTTTCAGTTGGTACAGTGGGAAGATATCCTAGTCCACATTCCTGGAAAGTCTTTTGTACTTTTGTTAATAAGTTTTGTTTTGGAACTGGTATTTTTTGACTTCTAACTGATGCTCCTATTGGGAATTTTTCACACCGTGTATGTATAGGTATTATGGCTTCAACTTTTGAATGAGCTAAAAATTAAGAGGAAGTAACAATTAGAGAAATAACAAAAGATTATTAGAAAATTAGAAAAGTAAATCTTTATTTACGTTCTGATACAGTGGTGGTTGAAGTTGATGTACGATAATGTTGGTTTTGTTGTTGTCTTTTAAATGAATCCCCGGCAGATAGATTGAAAGCTCTTGATGATCCATTAAATTCAACAATAGGTGTTAATGGACCATTATGAAATGATTTCTTTCTTTTTTGCTATATAAATTATTTTATTATAATATTATTTAACTATTAATGATAATAAATTTTCATTTTTTAATTTGTTATTATTATTATTATTATTATTTTACCGGATTTTGAATGATTTCTCGAAGGCTTAATAATTTCGCCAAACTTTCACTCTCTTTTCTAATTTTCTTTTCAATTTGTTCAATATGCCCATATTCCTTTAACAATGACTCTTCTTCCTATAAATATATCACAATTATATGATGGTTATTCTACAAATACAAATGTAAATATAAACGATAAACATATAATAAATATCCATACCGCTATTTGTTTCGAAGAACGGTTATACAAATGACGTAAATTTTTTTTTCTTTTTTCTTCCTTTACTTTATCATAAGTATTCAATGCAATAATTGCACCTTTGTCTTGTTGATTGTTACCAGGTTGCGTTGGTCTTATTTGTAAAATCTTTTTACACACCGAGTAGTATCTTTCTTTTAAATCCTTTTTATATATTAAAAAGTGAAAAGAAAGGTGTGCGAGAATTAGTTTTTAAGATTTCTTGGTCTATTAGTATCACCATCATCATCTTTTAAATCACATATTAATAATATAAATTAATTTTATAAATTTTTACTTCAATAGTTCTAATCTTATTTGGAAAATCATATCTATCATGTATAATAATAAACCTAAGATCATATTTTCTACACATATCAAACAGATAATCAGTTTCTTCCTTGGACCAATCTCGATCTAGAATAAATAGATTATATATATATATGTAGATATATATGTGAAGATAAAATGCTGATATATAATGTGAATCTATATTTATACCTATTAGATATTTATTATATTCATCATCCTCATAACTCTCAATTTCGACAGAACAATTAAATCTAAAAAATGGATATATTTCTAGAAGAAAAGCTTGGCCTTAGATATAGTTTACAGCTTTAAATTAATTAATCAATAGATAAATAAATTACCCTGATCTTCGATATTCGAGACTTTTGTCCAATGTTTTAACCTTAATCCATCATTCCTTGAATTATTAATAAATTCTTTACATTCCCTTTAGTGGATTTTAAATATTAATAAATAAATTTTTATTAAATAAATAAATTGTTATGTTTAATCAATAAATCAATCAATCAATCAATCAATGAACTGATCAAATATAGATTTATCACCATTGAACACCTTGATCCATCAATTTTGATCTAGTTTTTAGAGCAGGTCTCACAATTGCTACGGGAGATGGTCCACCAATTAATTGAAACAATTTTTCAGTTAAAACATCTAAAATCACACACACATATATATATAACAGTGTAAGTACAATGAATGTCATTATGTCAAATATAAATAAACAAGTCATTAAAAAGTTCTTGTAATAAATACTGTCTGCAAACCATTAAATTACCTGATTCATTGTTTACATTTTCAGGTTTAGAATAATTATTGTTTAATGAATCATTTTCTACTGTTTTCGAAAGTTCTTGAATATCTTTATTGTCAAAATAAGTCATATTTATTTATTTTCTTTTAGATCATCAAAGAGAACATGTAATTAATTGAAATTGAAAAAGTTGAAAAAATTTTTTTATTAATTAAAATTAATTAAACATAATAAAATATATAAAATCATTTATTGACATTGTAAAATAATTAGAAATTTCCAGTTAAAACCATTCTGTCAATATATCACGAAATTTAACAAACCTTCTTTATCATACAAGAAAGAATATGAAAGGAAAGTTAAGTTACACACTAAACCATCGCGTTCTATGCGTAGATCGACCCAAATTTTAAACGTTGCACAACAATATAATAATTGAAACACCTTTATCATGACCAAGAATTAATAATGGAGTTGTTTTATTAGAATATATAAAATTTGCAAAATTCATGATATTGATATTATTTCATAGTTTAAAATAACCTTTAATCATTAATATAAAACTGCTTTCGAAATAACATCTTGAGAAATGGGATCAGGCAAAGTTGTAGAAGACTGAAGTATCACTGTAGAGGCATGATGGTTGAATATTAATAGTATATTGGCAAAAATTATGTTGCCTTGACCATTGATCATATCGATTAAATGCTCCTTTGAATAGAGAGTACCAAAATTATTATTTAGATTCAAAAGAGAAAATGTTTTAGCAATGATTGTATACCTCTAAAGGAACTAATGAATTATCAGCTTGGCAAATTGTGCAACAATGAAATTAAAATAATGAGAAATGGTGCAAAGATAATTGTGGATAACTGTCTGCATTACTGCATAGTAGTATATACACTTACAGTCATTTGTGTAGTATTTATAATATAAAAAAAAAATATAATTCATCTTTTTGATTTTACCTTGAACATAAAACAATGAAGTATTCCACTGTTTTTCAGGGATTGAAATTAGTGGTGATGGCTTGTTTATAGATGTTGTCTCTAATGGTGAAAACCGTAGAAATTCTCCTATGTGTGGTAGACATTGAGCTCGCATAAATCTAGCATAATCACCTTCAATTGGCCATTCAAAGTAAAACAATTTTGTAATGCCATCAATCGTTTTCACTTTGTGATTTTGATTTTGGCGTGCTGGCACAAGTTGAGCAATAGAGGTCCCCTTTAATCTATGTATTGCTTCTTCTATTTTCCTTCCTTCATCTAGATTATGGCCAACATGTACATATCTCTTGATAGCATGAGAAATCTAACAAAAGGCATATTTTTTAATTAATGGAAGTACATATGGGGGCGCTCTAGGAAAACCAGGTTTCGAGACTTTTGGTCAAAAAAAATTTTTTTGCATGATATTAAACTATAATATCATGACTATAATTTGTGAAAAAATTAGATGTGATTTATTTAGTACAAAAATAAATTCTTGGGGGTAACCAAAATTTTTTTGAATCGAATTTAAAAATCAAAATTTAAAAAAAGCAATGATCTACATACTGCACATTTCATAGTCACGGAAATCATATTTAATAAAAACTATTTCGTTAATATTAAGCCGAATTTTATTATAATTTCTACTTTACTTGATAAAACGAACTTAATGGTTTGTACAAAATAATAAAATCTAACTTTCTAAGCCGAATATGATCATAAAAATTCGTCTTATAATGATAAAATTCGGTTTAAAAATGGTCGATCACCCAACAATCAAGTTTAGTCAAGATGATTATTACTAAATTAGGCTTTTAACCCTTTATGCTGCCAGCCCTGTTTGTATCGGATCCTATTCCCAAAAGTTCGGCTTATCGAGGTTTGACTGTAATCCCAGACTGAATTAGATGACGTTTTGATAGTTATTTTCTGTTGTAAAAGTTAATTTATAATATAATACTTACCATCTGGTTATTTTAAATAAATAAAAATAAATTTATTTAATTAGATGATATTTAATCTGTTGGAATGCATATATATGGGTTTTAACAAAGTTGGCTTGCTTATTTCTAAGGCTAGCCATTTGGTAACATAGAATCATTACCTTTTTTAGGCTTATTTTTGTAGAATAATTTTTTGAAGAAGGGTTCATGCTTTGATACAGCATATCAAAAAAACCTTTTAACGAAGGATCTCTTTCTTTGATCATTTTTATGAATTCATCAGGATCATTAATAATTTTGTTTTTTTCACGATGTTAATAATTATATAAAACAGAAGAAAGCCTTTTTATTTGATCATTAAAAAAATAAATAAAAAATAAAAAATAGGAAATAGTAGTTAATATTTGATAACCTTTAATATGTTTATTTGATGGTCGAGTGATTTTTAATTCTATAACTTGATTTTGTAATTCCTGTAAAGTAAAATTAGATGTGGATATTTATTTCCATTTCCTTCCTCCATATGGTCTTATAATATCTATTATTTCTAATGTATATAAATATGTATGTGTGTAAACGTGAATGTGATGTATATGTAAACATGAATGTATAAAACGTCCGCTGTTACCAAATTGTAAAAACGAATTTAAACACTCTTACAAATATTTTAATTGTGGTAAAAATATATTCTCCATTTTAAAAATAATATCCTATTTATAATGATAAAAATAAAAGATAATCAATCTCATCTATTTAAATGTTCTAAACATAATTGGTAAAAATAATTAATATTATTAATACATAAACTTAATTTGTCACAAACATTCTTTAATTAAAAATAAGATCTTATAACAAATCTTAGGAATAATTCGCAATCTTTATTTAAAAAATAAAAATGTACAATCAAAGAAATTAGAAAAAGGAGAAAAAACGACGGAGAACGACGAGGAATAAACGAGTAAGTGTTTATCATAATAATGGAGGTTATTGACACTTGTCGCGTCAGACTAAGTGACTTGCACTATATATAATAATTTTTGATTTTTTTAATATTACAAGAAAAACTCTTGACAAAGTAAATGAAGAAATCATTCATGGGTAAGTGTTATTCATTAAAAAAGAATGGTGGTGGTGGTTATGATGCATCACAACTTGTTGTCATTCTAGTTTCCAGCTATAATAATAAACTTTGGTTTTTTTTAAATAGTGCTGCTCACGAGCTTTCAGAAATAAAAAAAGTTCAAGAGGAATCGTCAAAAATCATTGCTGAATTGGAAGATAAAGTCTCGAAATTTAAAAAAATTCAAGAGGAATCGTTACAAGCCATTATAGAAAAAATCAAAAAATTCCAAGAGGCATCTTCACAAACAATTGTTAAATTGGAAGACGAAATTTTAGATTTGAAAAAAAATTCAAGAAACATCATTACAAGTTATTACCAAGTTCGAAGATATTTCAACAACACAGGTCTCAAAACCCGAAGTAATCACTGCTAAACCAACAGAAATACCAAAAAATCCTGAAATTCATACAAAAATTTATGAAAGCATAAATAAACCTGAAGAATCATTTAAACTTCGAGTAAAACAAGCAAGGATGAGTACTTTTATTCAGCCAACCACAGATACAGATTATCAAATTAAAAAACGAAAAAAAAATTAAAGGACGATCATGTGTTAAATATGTATTAAACTAATAACATGCTCATAATAATATATAATGTTATTCGAAAATATTAATATTTGCAATTATAATAAATAATATGTATGGTATTAAATAATATTTTTTTGTATTGAAAGTGATCTCGCCATATACTTCTCTCATCTAATTCCATAAACATTTTCTGTCACAAATTATTTATGTTGTTTTCTACTAATTTAATTCCTATTAGTTAAAATTAACAATCATTATGCTTAACGAAGTAATTACACCATATTAATTATGTATTATAAAAGCAATTCAATAAATTTTATTTTAAACACATATAACCCATTCATCAAACTTCACATAATTAAAGTATGTTATCAACTATTATCTTGTTCCCTCACCATAATATTTGGTAACAGTAATTTTCTTTCTTTCTAGATTCTTCATGGCTTTATGTTATCACATTCTTTGATCAGTTATGATTTTCTTTCTTCTTGATAGATTTCATAGAACCAACCATTGCCCATATAATATGGGAAACATCATTTTGGTTTTCATCAAACTTATGGTGCAGGTCATCTATACTCATCAAAAATGTAGATCATTCCGAAATTTCAGATAACTATCAATGAATTTTTATTGGTTAATTTTTTTAAAAGCAATTTATTATTATTCTATATTAATTCTATTTAATTCTTCAATTACACCATCTGGTATTCTCCTATGAGATCTATATTTTTTGACAGCATACTCTGCTAATTTACCACTGATTTCTTTTCTATATAAGTCCATATAACGCCAACACTTTCTTGAAAATTTCCTAATTGTAATTAAAGATACTGATTCAAGACTTTCAGGTACTGTTTTTTTTAAACCCTCCCATGAATAATCACAATTTTCTCTCAGATATCATTTAGCAGCACCCCAATATCTTTCAATAAAGTTTAGCTCACAGTGAAATTTTGGAAAAAAGATGCATTTATGTCCAGCATTCTCAATCAGCTCTTCAATTGCTCCTTTTTGTGCTAAAAAATCTGGTTCCAATGATAATACACAACGTGCACAACAAGATTTTCTTGAATCATCTTTAATATTTTCTTTACATTCTTTGCATTCTAATATTAATCCTTGAGATGACCATTTTCCTCTTTCTATTAACACTTGTTTTATGCCCTTAGGTTTGTTTCTAAGTTTCTCATCAGGATGTGTAGATGGAAAAACCATTGATTGTGGCTGTTTATCTTCTCCAAAGTAAGTATCACGCATAACAGGTTGCTTGCCACCTGGTTTTAGATTCATTCGTTTTGCAACCAAAGCATCATTTCTGAATGCAGCATGGTTAGAACTATTATCAAAAGCAAATACAGCTATGCAATCTGGATATAATGCCTCAAAAATAGGGATTGCTTTATATTCGATTTGCTCAAGAAGATGTTCTGCTGTCCAATAACCATCTTGATTTATGCCAGGCTTTAAATAACATTGTGCTTCTTCAGGTACATATGGATGTTTCTCTATGTCAGCTTGTTGCAAACGAAGGCATCCATTAACTTCTGTTAAAAATTCACTAACCATAATTGATCTGCCATTTCCCTTTTTTCTCAGTGGCATCTCACCATTCTTGGTCTACACTCCACGTTTACCATCATTAGAATAGAAAATACTCTCATCATGAACTACAAGAATTCTTTCTTTTTCTCCTTCAGGTAAGTTAGGGATTATTCTATCCATTGTTTCACCTTCATATTTGGACATATACTTCTCATGGTCAAACATTTTTTCTAAGAACACTTTCCTATATTGCAGAACATCTTCCCTTTCATGTCCATCATAATACATTCCTTGATGATGTAGTTTAAAAGTGTAACCAAGAATGTTTAACCATCTTTTTGCAGTACTTAAAGAAATATCTTTTTTTTTTGCAATTCCAATGTTGGGCAACAAATTTTGTTCAATAAATGTTTTAAAAGAAGATGGTGTTGCATGGTAATTTTTTTCACGAATCCAAACTTGACATTTTTCTGCAACATCTTCATCATCAATTAATCTAACAGTTTTTTGATGTTTACCATGTCTAGACATTGGAAGTTTATTGTTAAGCAACCAATAATTTGCAGCATATCTAATCTTTTGTGCTTTCCATGGACCAGCACCTATAAAAACTTTTTTAGCTACCTGCAAACTAGCATCAATTCTTCCACATCCTTTATCATCCAATAATACAAGATATTCATAAATGGCTCTCTTTTGATTATATTCAATTACATTCATTTCTTTATGCTTTTTCTCTAATTGATCTTTCAACTCTGTTATTTTTTCTTTAATTAAATAATTGTTAAGATTAATTTTTTCCTCTTCTGAATCACTTAAAGCTTCTTCTGTTGTGTTATACCTGAACTGCTCTGGATCCTTAGTTTGAACTTTAAAAAGACTTGTAATTTTTTCATTTCCAGCAGCTGCTTTGGTAAACAAGCCACTTGGTCCATATTTATCATAATAAGTGGATTTTGGTGTCTTACCTCTCATGTATGGTCCTCTTTTAGTTTTCTCCAGCTGAACATTTTCCTTCCACTCCAATTTTAATTCTTTGAGCTTTTGATTTATTTTAATTTCCTCCTCCATATCATCTACATCATCCCAACCACTTTCACTACCAGCATCCAATTCACTGTCACCAGCGTCAATGTTTTTTAATTCATCACTATCATAATTTACTACACCATGCTCAATTGTACCAAAAATTTCATGATTGTAATCATCCATAATGATGTTATCATCTTGGCATGCCTTTTTTGATTCATACTTACCTTCTGCATTTCTTACTTGATTTTTACTTTTTCTTTTTCCTTTTGAAGATAAAGGCATTTTATCTTGTTTGGTTGATTGAACTTTTATAACAATTAATAATGATTTAATTAATATTGATGTAAATATCTTAATATTCAATTCAAAAGTTATGTGTAAAATATCTTAATATTCAATTCAAAAGTTATGCATAAAATATTTTAATATTCAATTTCAAAAGTTACGTGTTATTTCTCGTGTGACATAAATTGATTGTTATTAGGAGGAATTTTATTGGACAGAATTTGAATGATCAGCGTCCGAAATTTGAAATATACTAGTAAACTTGTGTATTTTTAAACCTTAATAACTTTGTACATAATTGAGAAATCAAAAAAGTAAACTGTAATTTTGAAAGAGGAAATTCTAATCTATCATTTTTACGGTTTCTTTTTTTTGTAGCATAAAAATTGAGGGACTAGATACATTTTAAAGTCACCCATAAATTCTTGATGACTTTAGGTGACACGCACCATAGAGGGTTTTGAATATCATTTATGAAATAAGAAAGGTTGTGGTGAGACTGCAGGAAAATATCTTTTTTTATAATTTTTGAGTCCCAATTGTAAATTGCGTCCAGATTTGGACGCAATTTCGTTTAAGGGATAATTGAATGATGATATGTATAAAAAATGCCTTTTTTTATTTAAAAATCAAAAAAAAAATGGGGTCAAATAGTAATTTTTCCGTTTGGTGGGGGTCTGCACTAACTCGAAAATCTACGCCAAATTTGGCGTAAATTTCATTTCCTTTAATATTAAGGGATAATAAACATTTTATAATTTAATATAAAATGAATTTATTTTTTTTTGTAATGTATGAACTCTTCAAGTCCCATATATACAAACATTATAAAAATTTATATTTGTTTTATTCATTATTATTATTATTAATTTTACCATTAGATTTTTTTATTATTATATTATTTATTATTTAAAACTAAAAAAAAAAAAATACATAAAAGTATGAAATTGCAAAATGAGTCATTTGGCCAATTTTATGTTGGATCATATATGTGTGTAAACTTATTCTAGCTTATTGTTGTTTTTGTTGGTGTTTTTCTTTTGACAATTCATATAATTCATTAAATTCTCCACTATTTTCACACATACTTCTAAATGTAGAGTTAGGATTTTGTAATAATAAATATGGAGAATCAAATTCCATTATGTTTCCTGCATCTATTTTTTAAGGAGAGGAGGGGAACAATATAGGTATGTGTAAGTACACATCTAATAAATATATATGTGAGAAGCAAAAAACATTGATAAAAAGAGATATTGATATTTACCCATAACCAAAATTTTATCAAAATCAATAACAGTTCTTAATCTATGAGCAATAGTTAAAATAGTACTATCTTTAAATTCTTCTCTTATGGTAGTTTGTATGAGATGATCAGTTCTAAAATCTACACTTGCAGTTGCTTCATCCATTATAATTACTTTTGATTGTCTAACTAAAGCTCTTGCTAATGCTATTAATTGTTGTTGTCCTTGTGAAAAATTAGAACCACCTTCTTGTACTGGTGTATCCAATTTTAACTCTTGTTTATTATTGTTATTATTATTATTATTATTATTGTCTTTTGTTGGCACATTTACTGTTTCTATACCTACTACTTTTTCTGAAACCATTGTTGTTGTTACTGCTTCAGATTTTGTCATTGAATCTGGTTCATCATCTATAACGGCACCTGATGGTTTTTCATTTTCTAAATTTGGTGATGATAAATCCTCTTGAATTAAATGTGCTCTTTTTAATGCATTCCATAATGTTAAATCTTCATGCTCATTAAATGGATCTAAATTACTCCTATATAAAATAAATATAAATACACACACACATATATAAGCATATTGAACATAAGTGTGTGTGAATTAATAAAATTAAATTTAATATTATTTATTTCTTCACCTTAAAGTACCAGTAAATATTACAGGATCTTGTGGTATTATAGTTATTTTACTTCTTAAATCTTTCAATCCAATAGTAGAAATATCTATACCATCAAGTTCTATTTTACCTGACGTAGGTTCAATAAGTCTAAAGAATGATGTAGCAAGTGTTGATTTTCCACAACCTTTATTTAAAAATTATTTTTTTAGAAGAAAATGTTATTATTGGTATATATATATATAAGTTAAATTTTTTTTGTTATAATATTATATACCTGTTCTGCCAACAATTCCAACTCTTTCGGTTGGTTTAACTTTGAATGAAATACTTTTTAATACAGGTGGATTATCTGGTCCATATTGAACGACCAAATCTTTTACCTCGATTTGCCCTTTATCAGGCCATTCTGAAGGTGGTCTATGATCAGGGATTATTGGTTCAGCTTCTACTTCCAAATCATTTGAATAATAAACTAATCTTTCTACTGCGTTCATATTGGCCTCCTATTAAAATTAAATTATTTTAATAACCTTTCAAGAAGAGAAACAATAATAAGAAAGAAGATTATATATATGCACACACTTAAATACTTACAACTTCTGAAGCTTGTCTAACACACCAATTGAGTGTACCACTTATTTGTAATGCGTAACTTAATACTAAACCTGTTATTGCAGGATCAGTAGAATGTCTCAATATGATAGCAAATAAACTTGCAAAAAAGATTAAAACATTTGCTATTCCCTCCAATCTAAGACCTAACCATCTTTGTACTGTTATTGTTAAGAAATATGCTCTGTTTTCTATATCTGTATATTTTTCATTTGTTCTGTAAATTTTTAATCAAGAATAAAAAAACATTTCTTGTCAATAAATTTGTTAAGACTAGTATAACTATAAACTTATGATAATACCTTATAAATCTTTCTTGTACTCTATATGCACGAATAGTTGGTAAGCCAGTAAGTGTTTCAGAAAAATGCGCATATAATGATGAACGTAATATTGAATCAAGACCTATTAATAATAAATAATTAAAGAAATTTAATTACAAAAATGTTTAAATTATAAATTTTAAATTATTTAAAAAAATTTACGTTTTAATTCACGATTTGTAGCTCTATAATATAAAGCAAAAAGATAATAAAGTATAACTAGCGGTACTAGAGGAACCAGAAACCATACAAATACAATTGATATCAATATAAACGTTCCAATCACGACTGAAAATGTAGATAACATCATCCTATAAGCATCTGATAATATACTATCAACTGTATCCATATCTTTACTGAATCTATATAAATAAATTGATAATAATAAATAGAAATTAGTTTATAAATAATAATAAATTCATACGAAAATAAAATAAAATAACTCCACCCATTAATGATCGTTACATTACCTGTTAATTATTCTACCTAATGGTGTTGTATCAAAGAATTTTGTTGGAGCTCTTAATATTCTTTTAAGTGCACTATTATGTAATCTTTTTGCTGCCACAACACCAGAAATCGCAAAACTAACCCCCATTGCTAAGCCAAAAAATCCTGTTGATATACCCCATGCAAAGTACACACCCATCTAAATCAATCAATACCGATAAAAAAAAATTTAGCATATATATCTTAAAATGACAGATAAATTATTATAATAACAATAATAATATAAAAACTTACATATACAGATGTTGAAATATCAAATGTTTGACTGGTCCAAAATGACAACCATAAATTATTACTAATGAAACGATTGAAATTTTGTTTTGTTAGTGTGATTATAAATTTAATTCATATTTAATTCGTATATTTTATTTCATTTTTAATTAATTACCCAATGTTTGTTCCTTGTTGCAGAATCAATAATAAAATAATAAAAGGCACTAATATAATACCACCGGAAGCCTGAAGATAAGAAACGTATATGGTGTAATCGACAGTTCCTGTTGATCTTTCCTCTGTTGACATCAAACCTTTAGAAAGAGATAATTTTTTAGGTTTTGTTTCAGCATCACCATCAACATCAGCATCACTATCAAAGATTTCAAGAGTATCATCAACCTTTTCTTCCTCATCAGCTTCACCATATTCTTCTATTAATTGAGCAAAATTTTTGCTAGCCTTCATCAATTCATCGTAAGTACCTTGTTCAACAATTTCTCCATCTTTCATAACAATAACATAATCAACATTTGCTAGAATGTGTAAATGATGTGTAACCAATATACGTGTTTTATTTGCCAATGCGCCCTGAATACAATTAGCAAATAAAGATTTTCCAACGTGAGCATCAACAGCCGACAAAGGATCATCCAATAATATGATATCAGCATCAAAATAAACAGCTCTTGCTATATTGATTCGTTGCTTTTGACCACCTGATAAATTTATACCCTTTTCACCAATTTCAGTTAAATCACCTGCAGGCAAAATTTCTATATCAGGTTCAAGACAACAATCCTTTATAACCCTTCTATATTTTTCTTCATTAAATGGTAAGCCAAATGTTATATTATCTCTTAGTGTGGCATTTTGTATCCATGCAGTTTGTGGACAATACCCGACACTACCAGAAAATTCTGTTTCACCTTTAACCCTTTTCATTTCACCAACCAATGCTGATAATAATGAAGATTTACCAGATCCAACAGATCCAACTACTCCAACTAATTTACCTTTAGCTATATTTAAATTAATGTTACGTAAATGAGATTTTGGTATTAAGGGTTTGAGTGTTTGATCGATATTATTTGATGTGCCATCGTCATTTAGAACAACAAGTGTTGCATCATTTTTTTTTCCATTATCACTATTTCCATTACCATTACTATCACCACCATTGTTGTTACTTTTAACTTTTCTGCTAAATCTACGTTTTCTTTTTGCTGATTTTTTTGTTGCTAGATCTTCTGGAGGGGGAGCGGTATCCCATAAAAATTCACCGTCAGTAACTCTGACCGCAAAGTCATCACTTTCAACAATTTTTGGTAAAGAATCCAATTCATCAGCAAGCAATAAACTTTGAATACGAGAAAGCGCTACTAAAGCGTCAGCGATCGAAGCCATTATTATTGGTATAAACATTAATGGCATACGAATTACATTGAATAGAGCTAGTGAAGAAAATATTATAGGAGCATTAAGAACTCCACCAGCCAAAGAGTAAGTAATAAACGCGAGCATGCTGGCAAAAACAGGAATAACCAATGACACAGACATAATACCAGCTCTTACAGTTAATAATAGTCTAATATAACGCATCTCTTTGATCCTCAATTTATTTAAAGCATCCAAAAAACTATCTTCCCATGCATAATATTTAATAACTCTAATGCCTTGTAAAACTTCTTGAGTTAACTTAACACGTTCATCAGTGACCTTTGCAGCTTTAGCACGAAGTGTAGTCAATGATTTCATAATATAACCTTGTAGAGGACCCATAACAATCAATAAACCAAATCCAGCCAAGGCTGAAGGACCAAGATTTTTTATCAATAAACCTAAAGCGATAGCCAACATTATAGGAGAAGTCCACGCAACATGAAAATAGCCACATACAAAATCAATTCTAAATGTGTCAGTGGACATTAAATTTGTGATTTTACCAGCTGTAAAATCACTACGTGCTTTTCCACTTAATACAATAGCTTTACGATAAATAGAGGCTATCAAACTAGTTCTAACAAAAAATCCAGTCTCCATTGCACCAAAAAAAAACATATTAAGAAGGAAAGTTGAACCAAATTGCATAACAAAGAGTATTATAATTAATCCATAACCGTATGCCGCTGAATCTTGCCCCTGTGCATTATAATACGATTTACTTGCATAACTAATAATTTCCTATTAATTGAAAACTAGGTATTAATAAAGTAACAGTAAAATTATATTCATGTGATATGCCAGTGCTCACGTGAATCACGAAAATAAATCGACCTATTAATTACCTGTATTATTAAGGGAGAAGTCACTTGCAACATATCACCAACAAATCTACAAAGACCAGCAATCCAAAATTTCCAAAAAAAAGTACGATTCAATGCACGTATTAAGGAAGGCCTTTTATCACTGCCTGTTTTTTCTAGCTCCTTTTGCCATTCTTTTTCAAATCTATCGCAAACATTTTTGGTTAAACGTTCATCGTTTAACGTGTATAAATCTTCCTTTTCCAAAGGTCTTTGATAACCAAGTTTTATTAAGTCTCCAGACCACCAGAAAGTTAATTTTGATAGAAAATTAGCATTATATTCTGGGATTAAGGTATCTGGTTTTGGTTCCGGTGGCGATTTAGATTTAAAAAAGTTCATATTTTTTTTTTATTCAAAAATTTACATGCATATATATTTATTAAATAAATCGTCAAAAAAAAATTTAAAAAAAAAGAAAACTTCAAGTATTTATTGAATCAGGAAAAAAATACTGATTGTTTTTTGGATAAATTTTTATCCACTATTATTACGTGTCACCTAAACCTAAATTCGCTCTTATAAATACGTAATGTGTAATAAGAGGCACAGAATAATTAAAAATGAAGTAATAATAAGTAATTATGCGATTACTAATCCTCATTCTCGATTTTCTCAATTAAATATAATGCAAAAAAGAAAGAGCTTCGTATTGCATGCCTAATATTTGACTTCAAGTCAATTGACTTTAATGGCTTTCATCATCATCACCATCACCATCAAATAAAGAAAATCTTCTTGCTAAAGTCCTCGAGTTGATTGATGGTGTAAAATTTATCATTAAAATTGAAGCCTTCCATTGATTTTCTATTTTCTACCGTCTTTTCAAAATAGATAGTCGAGTTATTTTATCATTGATTGCAAGTTTTATCCTCCTTATACTATGATTAGAGTAAATATGGATAGTGATTGTTTTATTAATTATTACTCATTCGTCCGGCGGATATTAATATCCGGATCCCAATAAACATACGGAACGGGATTTATACGGAATTAATTGATACTAATACTAATACAGAGTACAATGTTATTGGGTTGACTGATTATCCGTAATTTTTTTGTATTTGTATTTTTTATCTTAT